AATACTTCATGCCATTTCTTATATAATTTTTTTTCCTTTTAAACCATTATGAATCTTAGCATCTGAAGTTTCTGAAATTGTGCTGTTTTTGTTGTTGTTGTTTTAAACCAGTCTTCTTGAGCTGGATCTCAGAAGTTGAATTATTAATGTAGGGATTTGTCTGTGTCATTCAACTATATTTAGCTTTTTCAGCAGGAACTCGTTAAGTAGTTACTTGTATGATATAATATGCATTTCAGAGCCCCTAACTTACCTGGCAGAAAAACGCTATTGTAGTTTACATTCTTTAAAGACATTTGTCGGGGAGAGCCTCATTTTCATGAAATTGGAAGCACATCTCTCGGTTCTTGCTAAAATGTAGGTTTTTAGTGCATTTTAAGAAATAAAACTCATTCATTCACTCAAGCATTGGAGTGAGTGTTTGATGCGTGCCATTATTCATACGCATATTATGAAAGCAGAATACCCCCCTTCAGTGGCTCAGAGCTGAGTGGAGGGACCACACCCCACAAGGGCCTTGAGACCCATGAGCTGCTGCAGAAGGGAGCCCAGGAAGGGAGTGGGGAGGGCCCAGGCCTCTAAGACAGCGACATCTGCGAAAGCAAGTGTCCTATTTTTTGTCGTAAGTTTGCTCAGATGTAACATGTCATCATTTTGTTACTACATGTGTTGTTTTATTGTCATGATTTTGATCCCTGCTGAATTTTGAAAATAAATGTGAAAACAAAATGAACTCTGCCTTTGGGCTGTAAACATAGCTTAAATTCCAAAATAAAGTGATGGTATTTCTTATAAATGTTTAGTTTTTGTTTCTGCTTTTTTTTTGGTTTCCAAATTTTCATAGCAAGGTCCCGAGAAGTGAGCTTTTTGATTTTTTTGTTTGTTTGTTTTTGGATATTTTTCAGGTTATTGAAATTCGAACTATGGACGCCCCTTATTTTCTACCAGAGCACGTTTTCAAAGATAAGTGCATGTATGTTAATTCTTTACATTTTAGGGGCAGTGACTTGAGAAACCAATCAGTGATGATTGTAAAGGAGTAAACTATTGCTGGAATGATTTTCTGGTTTTTTATAATAATCATCTTTTGTGTTTCTGTCATTTAATTCATCTAACTTCTTTCCCTTGCTCTATAAGTTTTTCATTATAAATTTAGGCTCATGCACACAGAGAGTCAATCTTTGATGAAAAACATACTTATCTTTTTTTAATATGGAGATATATCTCTTAAATATAGCATGTTCTCATAAATACATGAACACTCCCTTAACAGAATACAATATCCTGTTTAAGACTTTTAATAATAGATAACAATACTCATAAAATTGTGAGAGAAAGAATGTAGTAAGGAAAATTAATGTTATACCCCGCATTTGTCCTTGCTGTCCAAACAAAACACACATATATGAACAATATTCACACTTTTGGGCTCTAAAAGCAGTTTAGTATTGAAAGCATCAACCTCAGATAGTATCAGGCAGTTGGAAAGGGAAGCGAAACCTTACGTGATTGGACAAGTGCTTCCTATCACTTAGCCGGCTCATGGCTTTCATTATCTATCAGTCAGCAGTATTTTTATTTCCTTCTCTGAATAGATTTTGAATGAGCATGAAAGCTAAAGCTGAACTGAGTCCTCTTCATCATTTAATGTGTGAATACCAACAGAATAATGTAAGACTGACCTCCCCATTGGAACAATGTTGGGGAAATCACAGCAGAATGGTTCATAGAGGGGACCACATGCCTTGTGTTTTTAAAGAGCTCAAATGAGTTCCCTAAAACATACTGTGTCTATTACTAATTACAGTTTAAGTTGTGTTTATATTTACAATATTTAGGTTTTGATCTAGAATGTTTGCATGTAACTTTTTTTGCTCAGCAATTCACACACTGAGTGACTTTTGTTTGATCAACCTGACAGGCTTCCAAAGTCTTTAGAGAAGCATGACAAAAATCTGTACTTTTTGACCAACAAGATTGCAGAGTCACTCGGTGGAAGTGGCTACAGTGTTGAGAGACTGTCAGTACCATACGTACCACAAGTCACAGGTAAGCGGAGAATCATTAGAACTTACTCTAGTGACATGTTTCAATAATTTTTCCATACCCAATTAGCATTGAAAATTAATTCTGTTTGTATACTTATTATATCACTGCTTTTTCAAATGCTTCGGAGGATTTACTTCTATTTTAAAATTTTACTCTTGAAAACTGTTAGTAAGTCTCTAAAGATTATATATATAATTTTATCATGAACAAATCAAGTCCTCGTGATTATTATTGTTACACTAAATAATAATAATATATTTTAAACAAAGAAGTAAAGTGAGATCTTTCCTTAGTGACTAATATTGTATTTAAGTTATGGAAATTGGTGAAAGTTATTTAATTAGTGATTTGTGTTTATTGAGTTTAATGAAATAGGCAGCTTTTGTTATTTGAAAGAGTACAGACCGTTTGCTCTGTAAAGAAATCTGCAAACTTTTTAAGTTAAGAATATGTTTTCCTCTGCACTATGTATTTCTTTCTGTTCTTTTCATTGACTGAAATAGTTCTGTTGTGTTTCAAGGCAAAACTGAATGGTGTCTTCCATTCAATATTTACTTTTAAACTAAAATCAAAGAATTTCTGTCTTTTGCCTTCATTTTCATTTGATGATTGTATAAATATTAAATTTGGTGGAAGAACTAGTTTTTCCTTAGGGGATACCTCTGTTCTATGAGAGAACGATTTGATTTCAGTTGGGTAGTTTTCTGGATTAATCATATTATGTATTTATAATGTGGATCCAAAATATGTACATATATTACAGTGGCAGTTCTCAGTAGTCTGAGATGGTAATGAATTCCTTTACGTTTTCTTTTCAGTTTGGTACTATAAAAGATTTTATTCCTCATGAATTCCTTGGGGGAATAAAAGTGCTAAGAATAAAACATTAGTAGAGCTTTGTCATTGAAAAGAAATTTTTTAAAAAGACTTTTAAAATATTTTAATCTTATTATTTGGATTTAGCTCTTTTTCCTTCAGGCAAAACACCTCATAAACCCAGGCACAAGTACAAAGGTAAATCCAAGTGTCAGCTCGGCCTGTGCTGTCCCTCTCCCGCCTCTAGGAAAACGGCTTCATAAAACATGCCTTTAGCAAATGGAGCCAGTGCCTGTATATTTTATATACTTACAAGTTCAATTATTATTTTGCTCTGCCGTTCCCATAGTCATAGTTTTTTTCACCTCTTGTTATTTCCTTTTACCCTGTTCCTTTAACTCGTAACAATTTTAAATGGAAATTCTGGGACTTTTTTTTTTTTAACATGTGTGTTGTTCTTCCCCTTTTCCCCCACCCCTGAAAAAGATGCGTTCTCTTTCCAAATGCCTCTTGATCACTGACTGGAAGCATTCTGAACATTTCAATACTTAATTATATAACTGCAGAGAAATCGCTCAGTCAGAATAAGAGTTTTCTGATTTTAGACTCCGGTAGTTTAGAACAGTCTGTGGCACACACGTCCTGCCTTAACAGAGAAAGACTCGGAGGTGCTGTGACACTCGTGGGGTGCTCAGTCGGGTATTCAGTTTTTCTCTGGCTGTATAACCATCAGATACTCATTTTAGAAAAATCAGGAAATTCAGAGCAACATGGCAAAAGAAAAGCAGAACACTTAGTTTATTGCGTATCATGCATATACCCGTCATCATCAGAACAGTAGCTGCCATTTACGATGTGCTAACTGTGTGCCAGGCGCTGTAATGAGCACTTCGCACTCATTTTCTCATTTAATCTTTAAAATCGTTTGGTGAGTAATGTAGCATTATCTGTTTACTAATGAGGACAGTGAGCCTGAAACTAAATAATTTGGTTATTTTTATTGCATCATGGCTATGACTTCTGGTTTGTTTTTATTCCGTAAATATGCATGAACTCTAGATGGAATTTTGTGTTTTTCTATAGGACCAAAAATGTGTGTCCGTATGAGTAGCATCAGCATCAAGCTGTGACATTTTGAAATTTGTGTCGATAGATTACTTGTGATACTTCATTTTGCCCCCAGTTAGCTTTTTAATTGAATCTGAGTAGTTAGAAGCTCTAATCACATTTATGATTTATTATATACAATTAAGTTAGTTCCTATGTCTCATTTTTATTTAGCCATGGAAAATTATATTGAAAGTAATTTAATGTAGTTCTGTGCTATACTTGTGTATTCAGACTATTTTCTCTATTCCTTAGCCGTCTGAGTGCCATGATATACATGATATACAATTGCACCAGGTGGCAGCAAAATATCACTGAAGGAAGTTAGGCATAGCTCGCTCTAAGTGTCGCTTCTGAAAATCAGGTTCTAGTTAAAAACAGAAATAAGAACCAAGGATTACCGTTGTGAGCAGCAGACACCGCAAGCTGAGCGGGAGGAGGGATAGATATGGGAAAGGCACAGTAAGCAGTGGCTGGGACCCCCAGCCCAGCTTGGAGAAGGCAAGCAAGGGTCTCCCCCGGGAGTGTGCGCCTCGGACACTGGGTCACGCAGGCTGCAGTGACGCTGCGTTTCAGTAGGCGTGGAAAAGCAGGCCAAGAGCAAACAGAGACAGCCCATGGGAACAGGGCATTCTCTTCCATCCGCTCTATTTTAAAAACCGTAAACATTCGTGTAAATTTGCAAGACACCTGATTATGGCTGTCCCTTGGCTTCCCTGCAGTCACCTAGAAGCAGGGGATTCTATAGGTCAAGAGAAAAGAGGTTCTGAGAATATGGTGGTAGAGCTTCCCATGAAATTTCATTTTCTCCCCTTTTAAAATTGTACATCTGTCTTCTCGCTCTCTCCTCTGTACTTCCCTTCTGTTCTCAGTGATTCTTGCCACTCAGTGACCCCTTTTCTGCCCCATAGCTCTCTTCTCCTTTTTATTCTTATCTTAGGCTTCAGCCTGACTCTACTGCAACCCATCACCTTTGTGTATTAACCTAGAGATGCTTTTATGCTGTTCTTTGTGAAGTAGGCTATTATTTATTCCTCGTTTAGAGTTCTGATGAGCCCTTTGAACTTGGCCTGTTTGGAGGGTAAAAGCAAGTCAGCAGTGATGACTGCGTACTATTTTGTAGCAGTTCTATTAATATCATTATGTTGGGTAACTTATATCAAAGTGTATGATCATGAAGGAGAAAGAGAAAGAATAGTGTGGTAGGTGAGCTCAGTAGTAGCCACATGCAGGAGATAAAATATTTTCAACCTGAAACTATAGCAAAACAATATGTAGTGAGTCACAGTTGAGTACGTGTTAGTTCTGTTCCTCCAGCCCTCACAGAACCTGGGTGACTTCTGTATGATAGATGCAAAGTGCAGAGCCTGTCACTGAACTTCTAGTGTAGTCAGGCAGATAAGCATAATTCACATGTCTGTAGTACAAGGCCCAGCAAATGATTGAAGGGTGATAATGATTGAAGGGCAATAAGGGAAGATCAAACATAACTGATAGTAAATTTTTGTAGCTAGAAGAAAGATGGATAAATAGAAATAATTGGAGTAATATTTAAGATTTTTAAGGAAGTGATATAATATTCAACTAGTCTTCAAAAGATAAGAATCTTTATAGTGGGGAGGACTTAACGAAGGACAGGTAATAAGGTGTTTCCTGTAGGGGTTTCTGTTGTAGAAATGCATGGAAGGCAGATAGGCCAAAGCACACGCAGAGATTGGAGAGGATTCACACTTGACTTGGACACTAGATAAATTAGGGAGCAGTTTGAAGTTAGTGCTGGTAAGACCTGACTAGAGAACCTAGATAGATGGCTTTTTAATTCATCAAGCAGTAGGGAGGATTGCTTTGGGGAGTGATATGGTCAGTGTGTTAAGAAGCTGATAACATGGTGGTGGCATATAGGGAAAATTGTAGAAAGGTCTACCACCAGTCAGGCTGGACTGGGTCTGTGTTTCTGAACTGAGGGTGGTTTTTCCCATCCCAAGGAACAGTTGTCAATCCCAGAGCCATTTTTAGTTACCATCATTGGGGCAGGGAAAGGTGGGCTAGGCCTACTGGCATCTAATGGGTAGAAGCTAGGGATGCTGCCACACATCCTACAATACACATAACAGCTCCCACAACAAGAATCATCTGGCCCAGGGCCGGCCAAGTGGTGCATTGGTTAGGAGTTGGCTTGGGACACCAGCTCTGAGCAGCAGGGTCCCAGTTCGGATCCCACATGAGGGCCAGTGACACTGCGCCCTCTATAGCTAAGGTGGTGAACAACAGCTCGACCTGGAGCTGGGATGCTGTGAGTCGCCGTCGACAGCGTAGGCTGCAGTGGGGCTGACTGGCAGGGGCCTGAGCTTTCATGAGCTGCCGTGAGCCACTGTGAGTGGCCATCCAGTGGCCGGCAAGCGACTGCCTCACCCGGGAGGAGCACAATGATAATACCAACATGGGCCAGTGAAGCGATGTCCTCCACAACTAGACTGAAGAACAAAAAGACAGCAACTTGTCTGTTCCCCTTCCCCCAATTCCCCAGCGCTGTTCCCATCCCCCAATTCCCCAATAAAATCTTAAAAAAAAAAAAAAGAATTATCTGGCCCAAAAGGTCAATAGTGCCAAGGTTAGATACGCTGGCTAAGGTATGCTGTGGTAACCATCGCAGGTTCTCAGTGGCTTAAAACAGCAAAGATTTATTTGGTGCTCAGACTAACTGTGCATAACTTCATATCATCCACATCTGGAATCCAGGCTGATGGAACAGCCTGTCTCTGGAACATTGCTCATTCTTTATTGGCCAGAACCAGTTACACAGTCGCTCTTACTCACAGAGAGGCCAGGATTTGCAGTCCTACCATAGGCCCAGGAAGAGGGGAAGCTACCACACACAGTTAACAGCATCCGTTACTGCCCCTGAGGCCACTGGGGGGAGAGGAGGAGCCACTGAGAGAGAAATTGGGTCCTTCATGCGGGCCTTCTTCTGGGTCTTCATGCTTTACCCCTTCAGTATGTACAAAATGGGATTAGGAAGATGGACTGTTGCCAGATTACGAAGTGACTGCTTCACGAAATCTAAATATCTGAGAACGCAGTGCTTTGTATATTTAGAAAGAGCAAAACAGACAAACTGTCTTCATTTTCTGAAATTTTTTTAAATCCAAAACATGTAGAACGTATGTATAAATGACATACCATTTCTAACTAGCATGTAATGGAGAAAAATTGTATTTTAGATGAAGATCGACTTTCCAGAAGAAAAAGCATTGTGGACACCGTATCTATTCAGGTGGACATTTTACCCAACAGTGTTCCTTCTGATGATGTGGTGAGTTGCTGAAAGTTTATGGACGTGTGCTGTCTTGAGAGAGACATCAATTGAAAAGAATTTTTGCCTCTCCACACTTTCAAATAGGAGCAAATGCAACTGTAAATTATCCCAAGTCAACAGAATTGTTCATAGAAATTAACCTGATTTAGTCTTGAACTTAATTATAATTTGTTTTATTAAACTCATTTAGCTATCTATAAAGATAAATAAATTAAATGTGTTATACTATCATTAGATCTCACATTGTAATTTAGTGTAATAAAAGGAAACATAAAATATATTCAAAGATTTTTGTGTAAGAAATGTTACATAAGGCCTGTTATTAAATTAAGAGATCTTATTTTTGAAGATTTATGAAACATAAATTTCGAGAATAAATGGAGTTATATACTGTAATGTGAAAGCAAATGCTTACAACTTTTAGAAAGTTTCAAAACTTCATCTATGAGGGAAAACTTTTTTTTATCATTTTAGGTGGTAAACAATGAATTTAACGTTAATTCAGGTGTATCAATGACCTGTGTACTCTAAGGACTGGGGCCTGTTTGAAACATTGTCGATTTCACGCTCTCCTCCTGTTTCAATAGAGCACAGGACGGTACCCTCGAGGACTTACTCCTCACAAACCCCCAGAGAAGTTTTTGATAGTCAAGTAGAAATGCCGACATACCAGCATGTCAAGTCAGCCTCCTCGTGGTTTATTCATTGTTTGCCTTACCTGGTATTTCATTATTTCTCATTGGGTAGATATAAATAATTAATTAAGAATATCCCCCTCAGAAAAGGGAAGGAAGACGCCCGAATTCATGCTTTCTCAGCATTCTCCCTCCTCCCCCTCCCAACTGCACTCAGTTCATTTATCTTCAGGAATTGTCCAGGGCATAGTCGACTAACTTATCCCTTCCATGCTATTCAACTCCCCATTATGTAGAATTAATCAGCTTTATTAAGAAATTAACAGCAGAGCATCAGTGTTAGTTGAAGAGGTAGTTAGTATTTATTCCAAAACTGAAGGCATTAAGGTTGGTTTAAAGTTTCTTGCCAATTTAAGGCTCAAGAAAAATTATCTTTCCAAAACTCACCTCTTCAAAGCCATTTTAATTTCTATACTCCTTACTAGTAAGGAGCATATATTGCTAGTTCAGACTGTTAATGACTGTGAATTGCAGGGAATAAATTCATCTAAAGCCTTAGTTTATATACTTTATTTTGTCAAGAGTGCAGTATATTTTATTGACTGGTCTTATTCCATTCTCCTCTTGTTAATTTTTATTTCTTTTAAAGATACACATAAAGCACTTCCAACTATTGCAAAGAATCAGTCTATTTGGAGAAAATGAACTGAAAAGACATTTTCATAAAGACTTAATGTAGAGGAATATTCTTGAACATGAACTTTACATTAAAAGTCCATTAACGCATTTGTTAACTTGTTAAAGATCCTTTTGTTTGTCTCTTAGCTGTAAGTCCTTATAAGTCCTAAGTCAGATATGCCTCACACTGAGCATTTGAAAATTTAAGTAAACAGTTTAGTATAAGATTTCCTTGAGCACGTTGGAGTTTCAAACCCATTTCCCATTATGGAATCTGATTTTGCAAATTAGGAATTATTGTTCCGAAACCAGAAGACAGAATAACATTACCTTCTAGGCTAGAACAAATTAATTTCATGGTATGAACAGGAAAAGTTCACATCAGTTAGGTATTCACCAGTTAATAGAGATGAAATATCAAGCTATGAATAAGTAGATTAGCTAACAATGAATCAGATAAAAAAATTGCTCATTTAAATACCATTACTCTTGTATTTGATCAAAATTAATTGAAATTTTACATGCATAATCCCAGTTAGTCTTCACATATATCTGATTCCTGTTCTTAGAGCTTATAACTTTTAAAAAAAGTCAGAAGATCGTATAGATGGAGATCAGAGCAAACTTGTGTTATCCCCAGATATAGCTCAAATTGTTACTATTGTCTGTTGAAGTACCTGGTCCTCTTGAGGTGTGTCGGTTCCAACATTTGCAGTTCAAATCTTATTAGCCCACTGGGAATCACTTAGTGAACTTTTTCTAAGAATCGCCCTATATATTGGGTTGTCGGAAAAGTCATGATGCATTTTTGCAATGAAAAACATAGAAAAAAATACGTCATGACTTTTCCGACAACCCAATATATATAAAGGTATTCAAGGTATTCAAGGTATAAATTAAGGTATTCAAGAAGATAAATGGCTAAAATAGAATAGAGGCGTCTCTGCCTCCTGAGATAAAATTATCAGTTTGACTAATAGAGGGAATGGATGGAAGGTTATGTATATCCAGTTATGAACACTTATTAAATTTTTCTTTGTACAAAATTAAGTCATTGGTTGACTGAAAAGGATTTTGGTTTATTCTGGGAAAAATAACAGATCTTTGTTTTACACATGTGTACCCCTTCCTTTTCCCCAAATATAGCTGAGGAAACCTGCGTGTTGTGTGCTAACAAAACAATAATTCTAGCATGAAGTCAGTATTATCGGAAGCTGCTGTGCTAGGTGCCATAAAACCACTAAAGTATCAGTGGAAGCGACATAACAACTAGCCTGATCGAGAAAGATGACTAGCAGATTTGATGCAGGCCCAGGGGTGGTGTGCAGTCTAGGTTAGAGTCATAGATCACGAATAAGGCAAAAGTCATAAAGAGGAAGGGAATGTGGATACTCCTCTAGGATGGCGCCTTGCACCAGTTCTCCATAACTCCAGCACACCCAGTGTTCCTCTAGAGTTGGAACAGATTCTGGTTTAGTTGAGCTCCAAGTTGTAGTAGGTGGCTTGTGTTTAACAGCTGCACTGTATGAAAAACATGAATCATTAAACTGTAGTATAAAGCAATTGGTCTTTTTCTTTTCTAAAAGAATAGGATTCACCAAAGGGAATCTTAGGAAACAGGATTGAAGCCAAATTACAGAAACTCGGGTAGTGGCATTACCAGAGCTCTGCTTTCATAAAGTGCATATCGGCAGTGTCACTGGGCTGAACTGGGAAGAGAGAGGCCAGCTAGGAGGTCCTTCAACAGCCTACACTCGAGGTCACGAGGACCCTGAGTCGTCAGGCTGGAGACGGGGAAGTAGGACAGGAGGGCTGGAGTAGCCTATTCTAACTGTGTAGAACCAGCAGGCACCAGCAGGCGACTGAAAGCGGTTCAGAGAAAGGAGGTTAATAAAGAAAAGTCGGGCAGAATGACTTGGTGGGTTTGATGCGGGGAGACTGTATCATAATTATCCGAATCAAGGAGAACAAGAACAAATAGGGAGGAAGAGTTATTAGGTAGAGTACTCTACTTAGCTCTCCACTTACCAGATTGAACAGGTAATAAGTAATAATTGGATGTAACAAGAGTACTGGCCTTCCGTCTCCTCCAGTGTTCTTTCTCCTACACTATAGCTGTTTTTCAAAAGTCTAAAAGCTCTTAATCAGTTGTAAGAACAACTGGATTTTTTCGTTGAAGTACTAGATTGTTTGTAGCTACAAATATTAGATCACCCAGAGCCTAACCTTGTGTATCTGCTCCAAATATCTAGAACAAAGCAACCGAAGATTCCCAAGTTTAATCTGACTTCAACTAGAACTATGAACCCTCAGTAGGGAAACTGAGGTAGCGGAACCCTTGCTGCTTGATTTCCGGCTAAAGCCTGTGTATTGCAGACAAGCTAAGGTGCAGAGTGTGAAGTAGTCTCGCTGCCCTAGACCTAGCAAGAGACGCTCATGAGCTAAGATTAGGGATGACCAGAGGCCCAGGCAAGTACTCATGTGTCATTTCTTAATTTTTATTCAGAGATACTATAGTAACTGGATATGATATTCCTCCTGAAAATGTGGTGCTGCCACAGAAAGCGTGACTGCCTTTTTTATCATAACGCAGTTGATTTCCTACCTTTTACATATCTCAAAGCAAGAGAGAGGTCTGCAAACGCCGAGTGAAAGGGTATTCCTGAAGAATAAGACTTGGTGGTTGACCTTAGAAGATCCAGAATATGGTTATTTTAAGCTGTTGATTAACTGTGCTCATTGGACACGTCCCAGAGTAGTGATTCTTTTAAACCATTTTAAGTTTTAGATTATTTCATTTTTGATGTGTAAACTGTGGTGCCAACATTATAGAGGCTATTGAGTACCTACAATAGTTTTCTTTTGTTCCATGGCTGAAATTATATTTATGTGTAGCCTCAGCCGTGGCTATTTGCAAGCGTTGTTCACTTAGGAAGCATAGTTTCAACTCTTGTTGCAAATCACGCTACCGGAGATGGAATTCTGTAGTTCAGCCGTGTTGGGTCGCTTAGAGGATGCTAGTTCTGCCAGCCTAAAGTTAATCTGTAGATTGCTTGGGAGCCACTGCAGTAGGCCATTGTCATAACAAATGAAAAAGCTGAGATTATTTGACACTGTGGAGTATGATCACAAATCAAGCCAACACAAAGAAGAAAAAAATGTGTAAAAGTTCTTAGATGACTTGTAACTGGGTGAAAGTATTCTTAACTCTTTCTTTTACTTCAAATCCCTTTTTTCTAGGTTAGTAACACTGAAGAAATCACCTTTGAAGCATTAAAGAAGGCAATTGGTGAGATTTTTGTACTTGTTAACTCTCCTATTTTGCTACCTTGTCTTTATCTTAGTACTTGTTTAGATGCCACATAAATAGAGGCAGCATGACAGAATATACACACACACTGTTGATGTCTGTATAAATATGTAATTGATTTATTCAGCTACATCCTGTAGGCCTTTACAATTGTCCGGTCTTGTCATAGATAATTCTTTTCCTTTATATAGACTGACTTCTCTAGAATTATGCGAGCATATCATAGTGTATTTTAATGTCATCCTATTGGGTGCCCAGCATGCAGGATGTGTGAACTTAGGAGAAATGGTCAGTGGATTTCCTTCTGTAGAAGATGTGGAGATGAAAATTCTGAAAAATTCTGAGAAAAGTAAATTGAGCGAGTTTTGACAGGTATAACGGTGTGTGTGTAGTGGGTGGGAGAAAGGCGATTCAGCAGACGGGATGGGGCATCACATTAATCCTTGCTGCTTTAGCAATGAAAACATTGAGGAGGAGAAATTAACAAATTCTTCTGAGATCACATAGCTAGTAAGTAAATATTGGAGCCAAATTTCATACCCAGGTCGGACTGTGTAGTCTTCACTAATCTTTGTATAGAATATTAATCTGATTTTTTTCTTCTTTGGCCTTTATGGAAATAAGTTTTATCTTATATAATTTGTCACTTTTTTATTTTAAAATGGTTCCTTCAATTAAGTATTAATTACTATTAGAGTAATGATGCCTTGATCCCAATTCATTTCTAACTGGTAAAGCAATTTAGGGTAGAAATTGGCTCTCCTGTTTTCAGGGATATTACACTAAGAAAATCGTTATCAAAGGATGTGAAGCACTCCAGCACCCATCACACATGAAAGAAAATCTGACCCCTTTTGGCTTAGTCCATTAGAGGATTGTTTTTCCTACTGTAATGTAATAGCAAATTCGCCAAAATAAAATTAAGTGAATTTAGTAAGTAATTTTTGAACACCCATTATGTGCAAGCTGCTTTGAGACATTTGAAGAGTAATAAGACATGTTGAGGAATTTACAGCCTGGGGCAGTGGCTCTCCCAGTGTGTGGGGGGCCCTGGAGGGCCTGGGGGAGACTCCTTCAAGGATCCATGAAGCCGAAGGATTTTCATCCTAATCCTAAAACACCGTGAGCCTCTTTGATTAACAGGAAGGAAGGCAGTGGCATCAAACCACATTGGGGTCATCGCGTTCTTCAGCACGAGACGCCCGCAGTTATTTTTAAAAGCAAGATTTACCTAAGGTGCCCTTGATGAGTTAGTATAAATGATTTTATTGCCTCTCAACCCATGAGTATGTCTTTGGGAAGTACATACAAGCACTTCTTTGATTGCCTTGATTTGCAAGCTGAACTAGTCGTTTTTTACAAGAAACACCATTTTTACTTTAAAAAAAAAAAAAAGACTGACAGAAAAACTGTAGTAGTTTGGCATACATTTTCTGGAAAATGAGTGAAGTGAGGCTGTCGCTTCAAGAGAACAAAACAAAACAAAACACACTGACAGTATTTGCTCCCAGTGATAAAGTTAGCACTTTTGAACAAAATTAGAATTTTGAAACAGTCTGCCACTGTGAGTTTGACAGCTCCCCAGTATTTAAAGACTTTTTTAATGAGATCAGTGATAATAACTAACGTGTGATTTTTTTAAAAAAAATGTCTTATAATATGTCTACGTTTAGAGGGTTTGTGTAAGTCAGTGGACCAATATTCCAAATGACCATTGCATGATGTTACAAAATCATGTGTGAGTAAATTCTATTCAAAGTGTAAAATAGATCAGTATATTTTAATGTAACCAATTACAAAAAGTTTATGAGTAAGGTTTTAAATTCCATATTGCAAATTTTAAGAAACTACCACTTCCTGAGTTTTGCTGTAGGGTCCAAGAAGAAATACCCACAATTCTGTGAAACAGGTATTAAAATACTCTTTTTTCTTTATCAATACCTATCTGTGCAGGGCTGGATTTTCTTTATATACTTCACCCAAAATAACATTTTGCAGTGGGTTGAATGCATTTGCAGATAGAATCCAGCTGCCTTTAATTAAGCCACAGTTAAAGAGATTGGCAAAAGTATAAAACAATGCTATTCTCTTCACTGATTTTGTTTTGGAAAATGTAGTTATTTTTTTCATTGAAAAGATGTTATTTATGTTAACATAATTATTTCATTGTTTTTAAATGAATTAATAAATATATTTAAAGTTTCTCAAGTTTAGATACTAATATGGAAAATATCAATAGACCTAACATACATTTAAAAAGCTATTTGGTTTTCTCAGTGATTTTTAAGAGTGTCAGGAGACTTAAAACCAAAAAGTTGAGAAGTGCTGGATTAATAATGCATGGAAATCAAACTTGCTGCCTTTAGGCCGAATTTAGGAGGAAGTATTGTTTTCATAAATTGAGTTTGAATCCTTAAGACCAGGGCTGTATGCTTGGCTTGCCCCAGTCCCTTATATCCTACTGCTGTTACCTGTCCTGATTGAAACCGTTCTGTTTCCTGGCCCTGGCACATTGGCGTCTGTGACCCTGGTCTGCTGAACAGTAGAAAGGCCATCCCAGTTCTGTAGTGCAGTCATTCAGGAGGGCACAAGCTCTTGCAGTTTGTTAACTGGCCATAATTTGAAAGGAAAAAATATAATGCTATTTCCACTTCTTGACACTAGCTAATTGTCACCTACAGTCTGTCTACCTGGAAGGCAGCCTTGTATAAGGACCCTTGGACTAGGCATTTCATCCTGTGAAATTCTCAACCAGAGAAATAAAACCCTGCGGGGCCACTGCTGCATTATTACAGTAGACCATCAACAGATCAGCCACGGATTAGCCTGCTTTTCATATTTTATCAGTAGTATCAAAAACACAGACATTATTTTTCTATCTCACAAACTTTAGCTAGAACATACATTATCTTAAGATTAAAAAAATCCCTTTTCAAATTGTGGTAAATACATGGAAAGGGCTAAACCAGTGTGGTTCCAAATGACCCTCTCTGTGTTACACCCCTCAGTGTCAGGTTTCGCAGGCTTTTAGTATATATAGTGCCTCACCTGTGCAAGGGCATGATTATTAATAAAAGAATCATCCTTCAGGAAGGGCCTTGAAGCTGTTGAACTTGTAGGAAGTTATGCTCTGTTTGATAAGAGAGAGAGAGGCAGTCTCTGAAAAGTCATCTTGTGTAGTTTTAACCCTTAGATTAAAAAAAGTTTTTACATGTGTGCTTTCTAGTCTTAACTGAGACATTTCAAGGATGTTCTGCTTTTTGCTTTTTTTCTTATAAAAGTAGCCCTTGTGAATTATCGTTAGTTTTGGTTTAGAGATCAAGTGCCCTTCTGGTCATTGGCGAGGTGATGTGAAATTCTGTATTCCTGTTGACGGGTCTTCATAAACATTTCTATAGATACCAATGGAATGGAAGAACAGGAGAAGGAAAAGAGGCGTCTTGTGATAGAGAAATTCCAGAAAGCTCCTTTTGAAGAAATAGCAGCCCAGTGTGAATCCAAAGTGAGTGAACAGATGGTGAAGGGGGTGGGGGTGGAGTGTGATTTTGTGAAAACTTTCTTGCTAATCGGTTGGTTGGTAGGTTCTGAGCTTCAGGCAAGCCAGCGGAACACAATGTCCTGTATCAGATAGGGACCGAAAACATTGGAAGGCACAGCTACGAAGCCTCAGCGGTTTCCTTGTGTAATATAAGCTGCTGGAAACGGCACGTCGCAAACTACGTGTTAATGGTGGTGTTGCTTTGAAGATTTTTTTGCAATGGTTTTCAGTGATTTGCTGTGCACATTTTGTTTTGTGTGTCTATCGGGGTTTTTTTTGCCATTGAGACTAGGAAAGGAATGAAAGAGAAACTTTATATTAAATTCCAGTACGAGGCAGATAAAACAAAAACGTAAAGCATTCCGTACCATCAGCTTAATAGTTACAGTTATGCTTTGTCTTTAAATTGCATTCACGTTACTACATATGGGTACTTGGAAAATAAATCCATTGTTAACATTTCTTTTTCCTTCATAGGCCAATTTGCTTCATGATAGACTTGCTCAGATACTGGAACTCACCATCCGGTAAGGGTTTTCTTACTACACCAGTGATAAAATGACGACAAACTAGACACTGTTAGGCCCCTCTACATTCGTGGCTGGCTGTAAGTCACTGTGCTTGTCCTGGAAGGTAAACACAGGCCATGCAGGTCCCTTTGTCTTAGTCATTCGTACCTGGCTGCGGCCTGATACCATTTCTCATCCAGGTGTCTTCCAGCTTTTCTAGCTCTCCGTTTTAGATGATTCATTCCTTCTGAACGGTTCTCTAAGGACATCTGGGAAATTTGGAAGACCTGCCTTCTCAGGATGTTTAACCAGATAATTTCTCGTATTTAACCGTTTTGACCAGCAAAAGCTACAGTTTTTTGTGGTTCAGCCTCATGGCTCTGTGCAGATGGCTCTTGAATGATTAGCCATCTCTTGAGCTTCCTAAGTCACAGCCATTGAGTCCCGGTCTAAGTTGCTCTAAAATATACGGCATCTGACATACTGTAGTTCTTCTGTGTCTGCTGGTTATTAAGTAACGGAGCGCATGAGAGAGGGAGCAGCAGACTCTAGTTCCATCTGAGGAGACCATTTCTGTCCACTCCTATGTTGTCCCCAGTGGAAGCTTTCCTTTGTGTGAGATGGCAGAGTGCAGGAGCCACAGGCGGACGCCATGCTTTTGGGATCCTTTTCTACACCAGCTCTGCCTTTTATAGTTTTAACTTGATTCTCAAAGTGCTTTGCTTCCACCCCTGTGTCCCGTAAGTAGAAGAGGCAGGTACATGCACTTGTCCACTTCCTTTTTATTTCAGCCTTCCTTTTGCCTTCATATGCAAGGCATGTTTTTCATCAGTATCACACCTCATTCTAGGCATTTCCCCACCATTCCTGCCCCCCACCTTCCCCCGCGTAAGTTAAGAATCACGTATTTACAACATTTCAGAACAGAGAAGCAGACTAAAATAAACAATATGTGACACACCTTAGGTTCAGAGAAAATCGCTGGGTGTGGGCACTCACTTCTGTGATGCTCATTTGTTATAATAGTGAGTGTCTGCTGTGCACTTGATCTGATGCTGCTCCTTCAATCTGGTCTTTTCCCTGGTCCTCACCACCGCCCTGAAGAGTCAGGCAGATGCTATTTTGTTTCATTTTCCAAGTAAAGACACTGAGGTTTAGAGAAGGAAAGGAACTTGCTGCAGGCCATCCAGCTAGTGAGTGGGAAACTCAAAACTCAAATTCCTAACCCACGTTCTTAAAAGGCATGTTGCTGGGGACCACCACAGCCCATTTAACCGCGCCGTCACACTGTAGACTTAGCATTCTAGAGTAAGCGTTAGGACTAGCGCTGTGGTGTGGTATTGCATCTACTAGTCGTAGTTAGCGCCTGTTGAATACTTGATAGTTATTGATTGAGCACTTACAGTGTTTTAGGCACTGTGCTAAGAGCATTATTTCATTGAATATTTACAATAACCTGACAAATAGGTAATGACTATTTTTACTGTACAAGTGTAGAAAGAGAGGCGCATAGAAATTAGGTAACTTACCCAAGGTCGCCTGGTTAGGAGGTAGTCGCCCTGGATAGCTTACCTAACAGAGAAATTAAACAGACTCCTCAGTGCCCCTTCCGTTTTCAATTCTTGTTTGACAGATTTCCTCTTGTTAATTTGCCTCACTCTAACCACCAGCCAGCACAGTTTGTATTCTCGAGAAAAGAAACAAAACAATCTTATACTTCAGTCTCCATTGTTGTTTCATTCACTTAGTTCAACAACAAAACAATTACAAGAAGTACAAAGAAGCAGGAAAATCCAGTAGAATAAGCAGCCCCACAGATGATCCAGTTATTGGAATTAGTAGACAAGGACCTTAACTCACACACGCACCCCACCTCCTCCCCCAAAGAATTAAAAGGAAAAGATACATATATTTTAGGAGAGAAATGGAAACTCTGAAAAAGAACCAAATTGTGGTTCAAGGACTGAATAATATAATATCTGGAAAAAAAAAATTTCATTGCATGGGCCTAACAGTATATTGGACATTATGGAAGAACTCTCATACATTGCTCACGGGAGTTTACAGTGGTACAAACACTTGGTAAAACTTTAGCAGCTAAAGTTAAACATGTACCTGGTCTTGATCCTGTAATCCCACTTCTCAGTATTTACCCAGAGAAATGAAAACTTAAATTTACAAAAAGACATGTACGTGAATGCTTTAGCAGCTTTTCTTATCATTGCCAGATATATTCAACAGAGAATGCATAGACAATAGACCAATAGTGGTATTCTTACTATAGTGAAATACTATTCAGCAGTAAAAAGGGACAGATTTTGTTGATAAATCTAAAAAAACATATTGAGCAAAAGAAATCAGACATAAAAGAGTACAGCTTGTATGGACCATTCTTAAAGACTGTGTAGACCATTCATGTGAAATTCAAGAACAAACAATCCTCGTTAGAGATCAGAACATAATTGCTGGATGTGGGTATACGTGGGTGGTATGTGGGAGTACGGTGAAATTGACTCGTTAGAGACACAGAGGAACTTTTTTTTGAATGATGAACGTGTTCAGTGTCATTATTGGGGCATGATTTACATAGGTTTATATATTTGTCAATTCCTGTACAACAGTGCACTTACTATCTGTGCATTTCACTCTATGAAAATTATCCCTCAAAAAAAAGAAAAGGATGTTATAAATACTGGAACAGTAATTGCAAAATAATTATTAGTTGCCAAAGATAGAATAATATATCAGGAAAACATAAGACAACCAGCTGAATAACTTAATTGAGAACAGTTTACAGTTAGATAATTATATTGATACATAATTAATGGAAAATCATTACTATATGAGTTGCATTCATAACTGTAAAATACCAACAGACTCAAAGAACTATGCAATTTATATGAAATAACCATAAATCTCTGAAAAAGGCGTAAGAATACTTAAATAAATGGAAACTGATACGTTGTTATTGGATAGGAAGTTAATAACTTTTTCCTTTTTTTTTTTGGCTGAGCCGTCCTGTTGGCAGCTCAGCGGCAGCTCATCTCAGGCCAGGAATCAAACTGCTGTTGCTCAGAGCTCGCACTCTTGAGCGAGCTCTTAACCAACTGAGCCACTCGGCTAGCTCGGAAATTTAATATCTTAAATACTTAAGTTCCTTGCAGATTAATCTATAGTTTTACTCAAAATCTTCACAGTTGGTTTTTTTTTTTACATTTGAACAAATGATGCTAAAGACAATGTGGAAGAATCCACATATAAAGCAGTCAGGAAAATGCTGTGGAAATAAAAACAAGGGGAAAATAACAAATGTTTACTAACTCTTGTTTAGATAACTGCTGAAGACTGTCGACCAGCAAAGGAGGGACAGAGGGAGGACTTTCCGTTTCTTTTACCAAAATAGAAAATTTTAACCCTGTTTAGAAAAATACATACTCGTAGGAATACTAGAATTTATATAGGAATATTTTTTGTAATCTTGACCTGGGGAAAGTTTTCCTTAGCATAACATGAAAACTAGAAATCATAAGAAAATAATTGAGTTTTGTAAGGTTTTTAAGCATTTGGCAAAAAAACAAAATAACAGCAAAAAAATCCCAAGGTTGAGAATTAAATAATGAATTGTGGAAAAGCATTTGTATCATATGACAAAAGATTAATTTCCCAAATTGATAAGAAAAAAGCATTTGAGTAGAAATATAGGCAGTGGGCTCAAATAGACAATTCATTTTAAAAGAAACATAAAATGGATATTAAATTTACAAAGATTCTTAGCATTAGTGGTAATCGAAAAATTGAAAATAAAAATAAGAATGAATTCCCTTTTGCTTGTCAGAATGGCCAAGATTCAAAACACAAAAAGATTGATTATATCCAAGATTTATAATGATATAAGAAAAGAAGTACACTCAAATGTTAAATTATTGGTATTCTGGCAATATGGTCCAAAGTCAAAATTATGAGCAGACTTTGATCCAGAAATTCTGTTGGCAAGACTATAATCCAAGAAGACAGGATAAAATTATGTTTGTGTAAGGAAAGACTGATGAGCATTATGTATAATTTTGAAAAATGGAAATGAACCTGCATTTATCCATTGATTTAAATCAATTATGATATATCTATATAATGAAATAGTATGCTATCATCAAAAAAGGATAATATGTGTATATATGAAAGATATTTTTTTACAAGTGAAACAGCAAGCTTACAAGAGTGGGTATATAGCATAACCTCATTATAAAAAATTGTGTATATAAAATCAAAGGAAAATGACTGGTTTAGACTTAAAAACAGCTCGATACCTCCATGATGTATTTTCAACGCAGCCTTCTAGCTGTCCAGTAACGTACATCACGTTGATCCCTGCAGTGCAGACGTCTCACTCTGCTGGTGGCAGGTAGTGATTAGGATGCTTGGTGAAATGAAGAGCCTTTCAATGCCCCTGTTGACAGTGCCTCCTTCCTCTTTTACAGCCCTCCTCCCAGTCCATCGGGAACGCTGACCATTACTTCCGGGCATGCCCAGTACCAGTCTGTCCCCGTCTATGAGATGAAGTTCCCGGATCTGTGCGTGTACTGAGGGGCTCAGGAAGACCTCCGCATAGGATTGCAAAGCCCACAAATTACGGCCAGGCTGTGTTCAGGATGTACTTAGAATGTGGTAACATACTTCTTGAAAATAACCATGGCTCTTACCTTTAACCAAATGCTTGGCATACTGTATAAGAAATTTTGAACCTGTATTTGATTTGAAGATAGGTTTATGCCATGTTCATTTCTTTTCAGGTTCCTGTTGGCTTTTAAAGGTGAACATGTATTGGTCTCACATTATTTCATTGTTAAACAGTATATTTTAAACTTTTCACAAACATGTAATTATAAAAAAAAAATTAAGCCTTATAAGGGTTGGAGATGTTTGAAGTGTGTGCTGTATTTCTACACATTTACACAGCTGCTTAGAAATAAACTTGCTTTTGATTTTGGTTATCTGCAAAAGCAAAACCACACACATATATTCTAATTCTAGGGCTGCAAACCTGGTCTGTGGCTTTTTCTGTGTTTTAGACACTGTGATGGGCGTCCCTCTGTTCATGTACCGTGGTCCTCAGCTTGTTAGGGTAGTGACAGTTATTGAATGATATTCCTAGAAGATGATCTTGAAGTCGCTAGTTCTTGTGATACTGTATTTCCTGCCGAGAGTTTGACCATTCTTTTTAGGAAGCTTAGCGCTTACTCTCGGAATACCGAACTGTGCAATATTTTTTACATCAGAAGATGTATTAGTCTACAGACTATGCTTTGAAATTATAGTAGTATTTTGCTGTGGCTCCATTAATTAAATGAGCTATATATTTAGTATAGAAAAACAAGACATTTAAAATAGCTACTAGTTCACCTGTGAAGAGTGTACATTTTGATTTTTATTAAGAACACATTAGTTTACTTTTTTATATTGTGCATTGTCTTAAATCCTCATACTCAGAAAATTACCATAACATACTTTTACTTTGTAAGATTTGAAATGTAGCTTGTATGCATCTGTTTAGCATTTATGATACTGCATTTGAAAAGGGTGCCGATGGTTTTAGCAGTCAAGTGTGCTGAGGCTTGTCAATGTAAGCTTTTGTTGATTTAATCTCCCAAGATTACACATACTGGCGCTCTACGCATGTGCCGACAAACCTATAGTGTTTTCTTAAAACTAATTCACTTTTAGTGAATTCCATTACACAGCAAAGTAAACAACTTTCTTTGCAACTCATAACATTCTCCTAGGACATTTTTATAACATAACCCGTGTATAGTTGTACCTTTTCAGATTCTTTTTTCTTTTTTACATAAAAATATAACTATCAAAAATTGTACCTCAAAAACAATTCAGTTTTTAGCCTTTGTTTTTGTTTGAGAAATTGCAATGAAGAAAGGCATGTTATAACTTTCTGTTTATGGTTAGTTGGGCACCTGTGGTAGAAACAGAAAAAAGTAAGGAAGCATACTGGAACTGTTTTGAATATTTAAACCAAAGTATAGCACCTTGAAACATGTTGCAAACGATCCTCATCATTTAAACCTATAAAATGATACTCTTAACATCCTGGGCACTTTATCAGCTGTAGGTGAAAAAGACCCTGTTTCAGAGAAATAGTGCTGTCACCACTGGGGGTTAAGTGGCCCAATTGCTGCGGTCACTGTAACATTGCCTCTTGATCAGCTAAAATGTTTCAGCATTTAATAGGCCAAATATTATGGGATTTTTTTAATTTTCCTTTTTTTCTTCTGTGTATTTAAAAAAGGATATTAATTTTTGACTGCACATTTTTAAAAAAAAACAAAGCAGGGGGACATGCAAAAACAATCATCATCCACTCGGATGTCATTTTATAGATTAACACTGTGTGCTTTTGTATGAAAAAGTATATATAATTTAATAGTATACGAAAAGGAGATATATATTTGTTTGCACTCATGCAGAACAAACTTTGCTCTACAGAATTTCATGTTTCTCTGTGATTTATAAATGCATGTATTGCATGTAAAGGAAAACCATTTCAATTAATGTTGATCACGCCTTTCTCTTGGTCTGTTTGTAAACTGTTGATTTGGGCTTCTTGGGTATTTTTCTTGTTTTTAAATCACAGTAGACTTCTGTATGTCCTCAGTTACTGAACTGGTCTTGTTAACAGTGATTTCCTAGAAATGGATCTTTGTTTTGGCTTGTCCCTTCCAGGAGACGGCAGGAGACCCCGCAGGTAATAGGTGTCACACTGGATCCCAGCCAGTGTGGGGACTGAAAGTTTAGGATTTGTTGAAGTTCATTGTATTGTTATATTTTTGTAGATATTAAAACTCTGTTAGTCACTCTCTTTTCGCTGTATACAGTTACTTATATCATTCATTTTTTTTCTTGACATTTAAATGGCCCTCCTATACTTGTGTTGTCTTTACTTATAGTTTGTCATTGGAGTGAACCTGAAAACACACACACACACACACACACACACACACACACACACACACACACACACACACACACACACATACACACACTGCATTGAAACGTCTGGACTCATTATCTTTTGGAATAATACTACACTTTACCAGCAATTAACTTCCCCTCCTCAAAAGATGTCTCTTCTTCCTGTATGAAAATGGCACTGATTTGTCATACTCATGCCAATATATGTGATAAATGTAATGAAGTGAGTTTTTTTGAAATGTAAAAATTCACTGTGCAATTCATATGTAAGCAATAAAAACAAAATCAAAATACTTTTGTACGTTTTTATAGTAACTGTTATTACATTTATGAAGTTAACTTTATTCAGTATTTTGCTTTAGTTAAAAATGGAACGTTTTCGTGACAGTCAGGTTGCCAGGCGGGTTCATCCTCACAGTCACTGGAAGCTTCCGGCCCGTGACTGCCAGTCATGCTGAGACAGGCCGAGATGAAGGTCACGGCGAGAGCTTGTGGACGCCCAGTGCCCTCTGCGGTCTTCTGTTCGCATTCCAGCCCTCTCTCCTCGCTGTATGAATTATGCAGGGAAGCCTTGCTCTAAAATAATAGCGACTGGTTTGCTTGCAGCACGCGCAGCTGCACATCACAGCCTAGGGGGCTCCGGGACTTCCAAAGCAGTGAGGACCGTGGGCTCTGGGTTCAAACCCTGCCTCCCACTTCCTGGCCGAGTGGCCTTAGGCAAGTAACTAAACTGAGCTTGGAAGTCCTCGTCTGTAACAGGTGGAGAGGTTGCCTGTGAGGAGTGAGTGAGTCACTGTGCCCAGGGTAAGTGTTTGTATATGCTCACTACTGTTCACAGCCCTCCTTGGGTTCCCTCTACTGGGACCTACGCAGCCCAGGCGACTGTCAGCTCTGTGGACAGGCCGGTCACTCCCCGCCTCTGAACCCCTCCTTTCGGTATAAAATGAGCGGTCTGTAGGATTTGCCATTTCATACGCTTTCTTTCCAACTGACTTGTTGGATCCTGTTACCTGTTCTCTCGTCTGATAAATTATTAACCTCAAGTAGCAAGTTCAAATGAATGAAAAAGGAAGACCCAACTGCCTCCTAGTTTTGCTGTATTTGCCTTACACTGACACTTTGAGTCAGAGGCACATGATGTTTAGCCTGGGTTTTCTAAAGTGGAGCCGAAGACCAAGGCTCTCAGTCAGGGGTCACTCTGGGACGTGATCCCAGGGAACCCCTGACATGGAAGGAAGCAAAGCTCATGAAGAGGGTTCATGTATGGCTTGGCCATCACCGGGGGTGATGATCCTTCCTACTGGGCTAAGGCACCTCGCGGTAATCAGAACTGCCCAGCCAGTGACGGAAGTGACGCACAGATCCTTCAGCTTCCGTTCCCAGCGCCGCTGGGCATTAACTCCCCGCAGTTCTGGATCGTGTGTGCCTGAGTGCCGAGCAGACTCCCAAGGTGTCTCCTCGCTCTCGGAAGTCCTGTGTCAATGCAGGAAGAGTGGACGCACGGAAGGTAGGCCTGCTCAGACCCACCTCCGTGAAGCAGGCAGGTCGTAGCCTGCGTGGAACGGTTATCTCAGTGGGGTCTGGAGGAAGAGGTGGGAACTCGCTGATGTGGGGCCAGGCAAAGCACATCCAGGCCAGCACGGTCCAGCCTGATGCGTAAGAAAAGGACCCAACCTAGGAGCGTCAGATGTCACAGTTTCATATTTCCGCCATCTTGCTTAAGAAGTGAAGGGAGGGATTTTTAAAGATGGGAGATTTTAGGGCATCTGGTAGCCTATTGCCTTTTGCCTGGTACACG